AACACATATACTCTAATATCTGAGAATGTTTCTACTATCGCAAAATTGTTTATTACGTCAATTTTACAACTTCAAAATGTCTCTACAGCTGCAATTGCATTCATTATATTCAAACTACTGTTTAAAAAAAGTTGCTGTAAAACAAATGTTAAAATTAGCTATTCTCATTTTGTGCTGTAACATGCCATGTGGCTCTGGCTGCAATCCTATTCCCTACACAAGTTTTCAGCCTAATTTTACTTATTTGCTGCAACATTGCATCTACGTACATAAGAAACTTTATTTTTCTCCCAATTTCAAGCAACTAAGAACAAATTTGCTTTCCCGTTTAACGTAAACTCACTCGGTGCAGAATGTAAACAAACGCTGCTATCACGTTTATGCTAACACCTCACTTCCTCAAATGCTTGAAATTGACAGTACTTTATTAATTAATAATTATCTACTAATTTGCAACTAACTTCATGTTCTGCAAATTCACAATATTTTTCATAATCTGGAACTGCCATTTAATTACCTATTCATCATCATTTGCTATCATATACCTCATCCTTCATCGACCAACAAATATCCTGGGATGCCAGACTATAATGTTTATCGCCTACTTTGGCGGGGTTCTGCACACTATTTCATCACTACAAATGCTCAACCTAAATTAATACAAGAGAACAGCCATAAGGCTAGGTACTTGTTTCTAATGAAATGATTCGATTCGAACACATATTCGTAAGCATTTCAAGCGATAGTAACATAAGCACGCGGTCTTCAAACATGAGCAATTGCGCACACTTGGATGAAATCCAACATGAGCATTTGTGAGCGTTTGGACGAAATTCCCTTTTTCCCTCTGTCATTCTGAAACCCGGGCATAGGGCAAAAGTGAGGTTTGGGGTCTAGACGCTTGTCTTTTTGTGAGGCTGATGAGTGAAGAAATGCAACACTCTAGCATAACGGATGCCAAAGTTGTGATGCATATAATTAATACATTTTTATACATATAAACTGTGGAAACGAAAATGATGGAGTATTTTACATTTTTAGATAAAAACATAGATAACAGTTTCCAGAATCTGCATCATGGAAGCAGACAATTACAGAATATTTTTGTACTCAGAAGTTAAACTCGTCAATATTTTATGCTATTCATTTTTAGTGTTTTATGACATTTTTAAATGTCTATTTTATAAAAAAAAAATGTTTAAATTCTAAGGAAGGGTCAGAACCATGAGTCAGTAATTTATGCTAATTTATCGTACAAAATTAATAACGCACAAAGAAACTAGAAAAGAATAACCAACAAATTTAATAATTGTAATTGAACTTTAATGTAATTTTGTTAAATTTATATTTACTTCTTTTCGCATATGTGACAAGGCTGTTCAGTTTCCCCTGATTAATTAGCCAATTTTTAAACTTTTTCTGTGGGTCAAACCAGTTTCCTTATTGTATCGGATATAGATAATCACATTTTTTATCCCTGGAAATTCGTTATAGCGGAGTTGGACTGCATGGGTGCATATTGTACTCGGTGGTGTCAATATACACTTTTTGATGGTGATTTGGCAAGATTTTGAACGATATTTTCCCCTTAAAGCATGAAGGTCACAAACTACAGAACACATCAATTTGTTCTTCATCAAGAGTTAGAGGACGGAATTGTTTTCTTAGCTGATAACGAAGAAAAACTACATGATAGGAAATACACACTATTTACCTAAAAAACTCCAACACAATAGAAGCCTTTCAGAAAAGTTGAGAAATAAACATCGAAAAAAACATCTAGAGGCTAAATTCTGGAATGAAGAAAACAAGAGGATAGAACATATTTCAATATATCTGTATCCTTACAAACCTCTGTGCTCAAAACTAACAGCCGGTTTTAGTTAGACTATTTCACAGAAGATATTCTAGGGATCTGGAACTTAGCTTTAAGTTCTGCACTTACAAGTGCTCACTGTTACCTTCTTCACTGCATTCTCAACAGAAAACATTTTCTAGTTATACTACTTTCTCGTTATCTGAGTCTCCTCCTTCTCGAGGTCCCTACACTGTTTTATTGCTTTCGATTTTTAGGTCAACTTGGGAAGTTTGAAACCTCAAGACCTCTCAATGCAGATTAACTACAATCATCTGCAAGCCACTAAATTTTATTCAATACATGTATTAAACTGTTTTAAGTAAGCACTGCAGAACCGATTCCCGGCTTACCCTTCGACCACAAGTCCACATTTGATCTGACAGTTCAAACAATTTATCAAGCAATTATTCATAACTAGTGAAGTCAACATTTCAAACAACAGACAATATTCTGGACAGCAGGTTAAGACAGTGTCAGTACGATAAAGTGTCTTCAACTATGCAGAGCTTGCCATTACAGTTCTTTGCTAGAACTATCATTTATCAAGACATCAAACCACTAAAATTACTGTTAGCAACTTCTTGCAAGGTACTGCATGTTTTCCTCAGATATTTTTGCATGATCAGAATGTTGATTTTAAGAATTTACAGAATTATTCACAACAAATTTTCAATCAAGCTAAATATACAGAACAGTGCTAATGTAGTACATTGTAAAATCCATTAAATTATTATGCAAAATAATTGTTTATGAAATGTTATGAATATACACTCTGTCACAAAAAATATGTGCACCCACAAGAAATCGATCTACAATCACAAAACTCAGCAGGAATGTAGTTTGGTAAGAGATGTGCAAATGACTTAAATTTCAATGGCAATGAGACAAGGGTAAGTGCACTAAGCACAAAAGCATGATTGCTCATGCCATAGGGCTATTCAAACAAATCCGTCGACTTGAATGGACAGTATTGTGACTACAGATGCCTTTGGAACTTAAAACGGCACACAGGCAGTTGTCGGACTTTTTAATGGGTGGATAATAGGCCTCAGAGAAGCAGGTTGGTCAAAGAGGTGTATCGGCAGGAGCGATATGGTAATTGCTTGGTGTTGGCGACAATGGATCACAAAAGGGATAATATACCATCACAGTAGGTCAGGGTGTCCCAGGAACACAAATGAGTGCAAGGTTCGTGCAATCATAAGACGGCTACTTGCACACCAACAATGTTGCTAGCATCAATTCAACGGCATTTGCCACCTTCTGGTGGTATCAAGGAAAACCATTCAAAGATGACTGACTGACAGTTATATGGTGCTGACATCCATTAAGATGCATACCGCTGACCCCTAGACTGTCAATCCCAGAACGGCTGCTTTTGTTAGGTGGGCATGTTCAATTTATGCGGATAAGAGGAAGAAAAACGAAAGGTTCCGGAATGGCTTGCAACGGAAAGAGTTTAGATCGCAGAATGACTTTTAAATGGGAACTAGAGATATGCTCGCCGGCATATTCCTAAACCATGGAAAGTGTTTCACTGCATATTTTTAAGCTCTGTGATTTATTGAATATTTCGCCAAGGACGGATTAATTTTTATCAATCAATTCATGAAACAAAAATATTTCGAAGAGAAATACCTGTTTGAAATGTAAAATTGTACGCATTGTACACTTATTTCAAATTTTCTTAAAACATAACGTTTTGGGGAAATTATGTAATTTTGGTAAGTAACTGAGTATTACATGAAGTTACAATAAGTAACTGTAAAGTTCTTATTTACTTGAGGTATTGTAGAAAATTGTAACTGTAAATTTTTTATATTTATAATATTTACCGCTAATATGAAAGTAATGAAACATAATTATTTAACTTTTTTTTTTTAATTTGGTACACAAAATAAATAATGTGTTTCAGTATGATATATTTTGATGGAGCTTTAAAAGGTCTGTCTTTATACGAAAACAGTATTGTATTCACTTGTGAAAGAACAATTTAGTTTTAATTTCATTTTGTATACAGAACAAGTAATATTTCTTTCCACATCTTATTTAAATTTAATTCAGAATTTTAAAAATTAGGTAATCAAAATTAAAAAAAGGGCAGACGATCAATAAAATAATAAATATCATATTCATACTAACGAAACGTTACCTGCACCAACACCACCGAGAGTTGGCTGCACTCACAAAGCACTAGCTGGAAATGATGTAGCGTCGCCTTTTCCTCTCCTCCTACCTCATTCCTACTCTCAAGTACCTTTGGACTCTTCCAGCAAACAAAAGCAGCCATTCCAAGTTTGAACACTTTCTCCGCTGACCCCACATTATAAGCAGTGGCGACTGTATTTATGCCGAACTCGGTCAAGCTGAACTATGACCGACTGGAGGCATGTGATCTTCAGCGATACATCCTGTTTCAGTCTTAATGCTGACGACCAACGTGCACACACACGTGGAGGTGACCAGGCCAGTGGTAGGATCTGGCATTTGTTGTCAAGTGGCATACTATGACTACACAGAGATTGATAGTCTCGGAAGCACTTTGTTGGGGCATATGATTATGTCTAGTTGTCCATTTTAACACCGGTTGTACTGCATATGCTATGAAATCGACTAGGTGCCATTTATCAGCAAGACAACACTCATCTACATACTGTGCAATGCTCCAAAAATGTCTGCAAGAATATGATGTACTTCTGTGGCCTGCCAGGTCACCAGACCTCTCGCCAATAGATCACGTTTTAGACATGCTTGGAAGGCAACTGCAGCCGTCACAGAATATTGGTGCCAAGTTGCAAAAATTATGGCATAATTTTATGCAGGGGTCACAGCTGACCTAATTGATTCAATGCCATGCTATGTTTCAGACTGTAGAGCTGCCAGAGGTGGCTATACTACTTTCTGATATATAACTTTTTCATGCCATAACTTTTTAGTAAAAATATCTTTTTTTTCTGAATTTGTAATAATTTATCTCCTCATACACTACATATATGTTAAGTTTTGAGTAAGTAGTTCGTTTCCTTTTAGGTGCATGTATTTTTTGTGACAGAGTGTAATTAATAAACTTTACATTATTATAGAAATTAAATAGAGTGTCAAGATTTTTGCTGTAATGAAAAAGGCAAGAAATCTACAAACATTACACAATAAAAATCTTTATTTTTGTTTTGTATAACAATATTTTTCTACAGTCTTTCTTTTACTTCCAGGTTACATGACAACTTAACAGTGTCATATGTCCATTAGCACTGATGATTTTTGATATTTGCATCAAATACTATACATGACAGTATTTAAATTTTACTAAACATTCTTTCTTTGTTATCACAAAATTTCAAAACGTTCATTGGCTCAATATTTTCAAAGAGTTGTATTAAAAAAAAATATTTGCATAATACAAAATTATAATGAAAAATTCTTATTCACATTTTATCATTAAATATTTAATATTAACATTCTGAGAGTTTAAAAAGTGCATACTGTAACATATAATTGAAAGAGAATCAAAAAGCACAAGGGCAACTTTCTTTATGCCAGGAAATACAGGTGGTGCTAAAAATATTTTTCATGCATGTATCACACAATATGTTATGGTGCCAAAAGATACTTTTCTGTGTTCACTCGCATAAATTCTTATCCGATAAAATCAAAATTGAAATACTGAAAATTTTGAGATAAATTGTTCACAAGAATAAAATTAGAAGCGCAGTACGGGCTTTTAATAATGGCTGTCTTGTGCAGAAAATATTTCTATTCAGTATGTTACTGGTCTAAAATATCACAGTCAAAAGCTAAATATCATACAGCAATTTTTCACCACCTACTCAAAAATGTAGTAATAATAATAATGGGAACCACATATTTAATAATAACAATTAAATGTCTACTAAAAAATGTAAATAATGTAACTTTTTGAAAATTCATGATTTATAGATGTTAACTTACAAAATGAACAGGTTAGAGATAATAATTTGATTCACAACTTTCAGCCATAGAAATATAAATCTGTTCAGCAAAATTCATAACAAAACTCTAAATTTTGAATAATAGTAACCTTTGTACATTCAGCTACAGGGTGCATGAAAATAAACATCAAGCAACAGAGTATGAAATTTTCCTTCACACATTTATTTAACTTTAACAGTGTCAACTTCAACATCTATTAAATGAAGAAGTACTGACCATACTGAAAACATTCATTCACAGTTATTAGTACTCAATCAGTAAAACAAGTGCAATGGGTAACAATTGGAAGTGAGAGAATACTCAATACCTGGCTAATTATTCAACTGCACAAAGTCTGCAGATATTTGTGAATGAATCACATATACCAATATTTCACAGAAATGATCCTCTTCTATCTAAATGCAATTTTATATTGTGTGCATATTCATATCCCTGATTTTCATAAAGAACACCCAAAGCTCATAAAGTGAGTACAGTAAACCCTTGATATACAGAGGCATTCCATCATATGGCACAATTCAAAACCAAGTATAAATTTTTGCCCTTTAATGATTAAACAAATAGCCTGTTTTAAAACTAATCAAAAACTGGAAGGGGGAAAAAAACTAAGCACGATGAAAAATGATGAAGTATGAAAAATCACACAATTTACGAAGTTGACTATTCAGGCAGAGATGACCAGTGTTAGATGGCACTTTTTAAGCAGATGCTCATAGCACCCGAGTTCCCTCCAGTAAACAGAAGATGGTTGCAGGATTGCTTCAATTTAGGACACTCTATAATACAGTTAATGTTTTGATTTATCATCATTTCTTCATACTTCACTCACTGCCAATGCTGCACATGAAGTATACAAGCACTGGCATACTTGTAAATTTTGCACTTTTGTAACAGATAATACTTATTTTATGGGGATACGTGATGAATACATTAAACGTTTCTACCGAATCTATAAACATCTCATAAATATTGGCAGATTAAGTACTTTATCTGCTAACTTTTTTTCAAACTACTTAAAATCTAAAACCATTTTCATATATATTTACCTAAGAAATATATATATATATGGATATAAGGAAAACTGTGCAGTTCAAACTCATGTAGTTCAAGGGTCAACTGTACTGCACATTAATTATATATAAAATAAATTGCCCAATTATTATTATTATTACTGAAATCCATGTTATAGATATTCATATTCAAGATATAATAATTCAAACACACCAAAATATTCAATAAAACCTGTTTCTTAGACATAAAATTTTAAGAAAATATGGAAAGCAAATTAAGACTTTTAGTTACAATCGTTTACACTAAATACTGAAGAAAAAAACAGTAAAAATTTTGTAAACACTTTCCTAAAAAATGAATATTTGAAATTCCTACGATGATTTGACGTTAACTAAAATTGGGCATCAGTGCATCAAAATTTTAAACTGGATAATGGATTTAGTTTTGAAGAGAATAATTTTTCAGTATTAAGACATCATTAGTGCATTGAGTTGAAGTACAGTTACTGTATGCACACATGTATCATCTGCTTTTCCAACCTGTGTATTAGAAAATACTTGCTTTATCATTTTATCATGTACAGTTCAACAGTATGATATATATGAAACGAAAATAAAAATTTTGCATAAAAATATTTTATAATACTCACACTAGAACAGGGTCTAAAATTTCTTATAGATAAATATAAACTTTTATAATATTTCACTATAATATATTTAAGAAAAACACAGTGCAACACCTTTTTCATTGTCTTTCAATGACAGTGGCTTAATTAATAAAAAAAAAAACTCTCCCATAAGCCCCTGAAAAATATTAAACACACAATTTTATTCCTGAAATTTAGAGAATATTTATGTATACCACTCACAGTAGAAGTATTTGGATTTAAAAAACAAAACAAAACAAACAACAACAAAAAAAAAAAAACTTAATGGAAGTAGTGAGTATAAAACTTAATATTTGCTATGCTTTAGAATTTGTACAGCAAAACTTTCTATACTTAAAATATTGAATTTTTTACCTAGACAGTTATTTATATTATGCAGCAACATATAGTTGCTAATTAAAAAGTGTATTTTCATGCCTAAATTTAAATGAAAAACTGTAATTCATTAAACAAGGGAATGGAAAATAATAAAGAGTTATTTAAAATTCATATATGACTGCTGTTTGATAGCAGAGTTCAAGTAGTTTTCTCATAAAAGAAAAACAACTTTCTGATTTTAGAAATTGAGAAACAAGGGAGGGAAAGAATGAAACAAAGGTAATAAAGGGAAACTTTCTTAACGATAGATAATTTATAAATTAATACCAAGCCAGATGTTTTACAGTACATAAATTATTTATCACTTAAAACATTATTTCAAAGAAGTTGAGAATAAATATAAAAACAAAGTGGGAAGAATGGATAAAAAGTTGTTACAATAACTACAATGAATAAAAATTATTACCAAAATGTTGCCACACAAAAAGTTTACAAATAGAAAAAAGTAACATATAATTTTTATTTTCACAAAAATGTGTATAATGACAAGAAAACAAATCACAGAAAGCTATTTGTGAACTAGATGGAAACTCATTTAGTTAACATTTTAATAAAAACAGTTGTGTTATTTCCATTACTTAACTTTGGCCATATAACACATATCTATGATAAACATAGTTAACTGATAAATAAATGTACATAACACACTTAAAATTTCTAAATTCTCAAGTGAATTATCACATCCAGTTCATTTTTTAATACAAAATACTATTTCATGATTAAATAAATAATAAATATCTCTCTATACATATACATACATTACATATATATAAATATATCATTTTAAATAAAGTTATATGTTTTAAATTTTTCCAACAAATATAAAGCATGTAACAGAGTAATTCATGTAAACATTTGAAACTAAAAACAACTGACTTTGAATGCTTTTATAATTCCGATAATGGTTTACATTTTAACATGTACAACATTAACGTAAAATGCATAATAATAGAAGTTTCAAACAATTAGCAATACTTTTGCATGAATAGGAATTTTTTAGCATGAGACATTAAGTCAGTACTTTTTGATAAGACTGTCCTCAAGCCTACTTAAAAGATTTACATCTGCAGATTTAAATACTATAACTCATTGAAATTTTAAATGCACCTTTAAAGATAAAGTGTTTGTTGCTTAGGACTTTATGAATATGATAAGTTTCTTTCAACTCTTTTAAAACAGACTTTGTGACAGTTAAAACTTCCATATTTTAAAATCTTTTCAAAAACTTATAAATTATATACTCTTCCATAGAACAATAAATATCTATTGTTTTATTATGTTTTTATAAAAAAATAGTCTCCTCAACTGCTTTACACAGAAGTTACATAACTAACTTTTTTTCATCTTCCCACAGTCTTGTGATCTATGCCAGCGGCGAAGTTGAAACTTAGATGTTTTTATGCTCAGGAGAGCATTTTGTGCTGCTGTATCACTATCAAATACAGCAAGTACTATATATTTACTACTAGCAAGTAAATCACTTCCTTCCTCCAAGATCTCCAAACTTTCAGAATTCACGAAATATATTTTTGCACCATTTTCTGCCACTTCTTCTAAATACCTTTCAACATCATACTTCCTCATGTCCCCAGGCAAACCTTCCACTTCTAAAACACGGTTTCCTGTTTTAAAAAAATGACATACATGTAAATATATGTATGCATGTGCCCCAGAATGTCATTTACAAAATTTGCGTGCTTGTCTGCCAGACCAAATGAAACAGGTTTTAAATATAAAGGTGTGTCCAAAACTATGACCAGCCACCCTTGAGGGTCATGCTCACATATGTATTAGAGGAAGGAGAGAACATTAAATGAGAAGGATGCAATGATTCAGCAATAAGGAACTGCACGATATGCATTATGTTTACAGGGCAGTGGATAGAAATAGACAAGATGCACCTGCTGAGAATGATTCCCAAGCAGATGTCTGCCAAGTCAACCATTGATTGCACTATTGCACCAAAGATTAAATGAGGTTGGAGCTTTCCGCATAAGCAACCATATCAGTTAATCCACTACACGCACACCAGTAAAGGGAAAAGTGCTACTGGAAATTTACAGAAATCCAAGAATAAGTACCACAGTAATCAAACACAAATTGGATATACCTCACTCCAGCATTGTGTATATTGCACGAGGACATACTACACTCCTACAACATTCAAAAATTACAGGCACTGAGCAAAGCCTATATCCCAATGTGTTGCATTCTCGTGTTGGTAATTGATGAACATAATTAACAACCAGATTTTCCATCAAGGATTCTGCTTACAGATGAAGCAACTTTTCACGCGATGGTGCCCTGAACTTGCACGTGTGGGCACATGACAATCCCAGAAGTATATATGCTCTTGCACACCCACAGCACATCATAAATATATAGATAGCTATTTCTGGTGACTTTTTAATTGGTCCTTACATACTGCCTCAACAGGCATACTTATCACACTTTTTAGAAGTGCTATCAAATTTCACACCATATCTGGTTTCAGCATAAGGCATTTAAGCATCAATTTGCAAAACTACCTCATTAGGACTTACCCACATCCTTACCACTGGCAAAGGCAAACCAATCACATGGCCACCATAATCCTCAGACTTCATCCTCGTTCCTTCAATTGCAGGGATAAATAAAGTATCTCGAATATGAGACATTCATAACATCTGACACTGACCTTGTCACCAGGATCATGGAAGTGGTGACACATGTCTGTGACATACCTGGCCAGTTTGAACCAAGTTGATGAATCCATGTGTCGTTGTTACTTTGGCGGATGGAAGAAATTTTGAACACTTTATGTAATCATGATTATTTCCTCGATCTCTAATTAAGTTTAAGGCTATGTTAATCACATTATCAAATTCCTTTGTGTGTCAATCATATTGTAGCACTACTAATTTGATTTTTAGACATAATTTCCTATGTAAAACTAGTTCTTCTCGGACTGACAGACCAGGCAGTAAACTTTGTAAATGATGTTTTGAGACAGTTGGTAAATCTAAATATCTATACACGCATACAAAAAATTTAAATTTTATTAATATCAGAATTATATACACTGCATTATAGGATGGATGTGCACTGAATCACAAATTTTAGTACGAGTGCACATATAAAAATTATGCAAATTATTACATTTGCAAAACCAATCAAATTATTAGCACATGGGCTATAAGCATTCTAAACAACAAAAACACATCAGTTTCCAGAAGCCTTCATTGCTGTAACATGAAAGTTTTTCAGCTGTTTCTAAATCTGCTAAACAAAGAGGATGGCATGACCTTTTATACTCAATATCAGTAAAGAGATATGCTCACAAGAGGTTTCATGTTAGGCTTTTACAAAGCTGGTTAGTATCCTGCAGCCTATCGAAGAGGGCACATTGGTTGATGACACAACTGTTGGTTTGATTTGGCAAAAATGGATCTAAGAAGGAAATATGCAGTGATGTAGGTGTCTGGAAGCAAGGGAAAAAAGATGGCACTATGCATGAATTGCTGCTAAGAAGACTCTAGGTGCAGTTGCCAACTGAATGCCCATATCTTAGTCAGCAATTGCACACCCATATCTCTAACTGCAACATAGATTTCATTGGGGTGGGATATTTCATTGTTGCCATGCTTGCCTGGTCTTTTTCTTCTTGAAGCCCACCAGCGGCCGAGTGGCGCTGAACACTGGTAGTTTGGCCCGAAGTTCGAATCCTGCGAACGGGCTGGCTGCATGGCTATTTTCGCGGTTTTCCCGATGTGTAATGTGTATATGAGCCAGTTTGCCTTAGAAAGTCCTCCATGAAGGCACCCCTCCCCTTAGGCAGATAGCCCTCGAGGCTTTGCCATTATCACACATACACACACTTTTTCTTCTGATGTAATTATTATCTATGTTAATTTAATATGCATACCTGCCAACCTCTAAAGATAAAAATTCAGAAGATTTCTCCAAAATTCAGAACAACACGAAGAATTAATATCATGCTTTGATATTAAAAAAATAACAATTTATACAAATAGAAAAAAGAAAATTGTACTTATATTAGTAAATCTTAATTAAGTAGTAACTAAAAAATTTATTAGGAAACATAAAACAAGAACTTAATGTTACACAAAAAAATTATTGCAATGAATTTAGAGAGCATTTTTTGGCTTTAGCCAAAAATTCCTTGGAAAATTTCCTGTTATAACAATTAGTTTCCTCATAACATTTAGCAATTAAAATGTTTTCTAGAGTTTTTGGTGAAATTGAAGAACGAAACACAGTTTTGTTTTTCTTCACAACACTGAAGACTCTCTCGCACTCAGCATTACTGGGTGGAATTACGAGAATAGCACATAAAACTCTTGCTAGTCTATCATATTTTGGTGTTCCATAAGCTCTTTTTATTCTTTTTAGGGTACCAACAAGGACATCAAGTCTATCTTCTCCAGAACTGGCATAGTCTTCAAACTGTCAGCAGAAAATTGGTTCTGTAGTTCATCTAAAGCATCATTATGGCATTCATTTTCTTTAATTGTTAGCAAAAATGGAAATTTATCAATAAAAAAAACGAATCTTTTCAAAAGATGAATTTTCAATTTGTTTCAAATTTGCCACTTCAGCATTTAAAAGAACTTTATTTTGCAAAGGAAACTTCCTTACTGTGATTACAGGCTGAGGAAAAGTACTTTCTAACACATTGAAAAAATTCTTTTTTCTCATGATCTTTCAAAGAATTTACAAGTTCCCTGGTTTGATTTCCAATTACAAGATCATTGTTATCCTTTTGATTTGCTTAAAAATGCTTAAAAATATTAGAAATGTTAATTTTAATAACATATCTTTACTTAATGTAAAATGAACAAAAAAATGCAATAAAAAATTGTGACATTTTTTTTGACCGAATTCTGAAAAAAAAAAATGAAACTGTCAAAGGGTTAATGATATTTTTAAATAAATTCAGGTATTTTATATTTATTTAGTAGCATACATAAGCAAAAAATATGTGCATTAAATTCGTGATGGTATGTCACCATACTGCTAGAAATTAATTTCAGGATCATGCCAGAGAAAAGTTCCTGAAACTTGAAAGTATTATTTACTAATAAATAATAAATACATTTAGAGAGAAGAAGAAACAAACATTAAATGACACAAATAACATCAACATAAAGATAATTATTTAAAAATTGAATCAACAATATTTTGGCGAACATAGTTATATGGAACTACTCTGATATGTGCCCTCAAATCGCCAAAAATATTTGGCGAGAAACTTCATGAGGCCATATTACTATCTAAATTTTTTGTCTACATTTCGAACTTTAAGCCTAAAATGTCTCCAAAAACGCGGTTTTCGCACATGCAAAATCTACGTTTTGAACACACGATTTAAGCTAAAAATCCGAAACAAAAACAAAAAATTTAGATAGCAAAAACATAAAATTTCTAACCAAAAATATTTGATGAGAATCCATGTACACAGCGACATGTTTTAACTTAAAAAAACATCTACGAATGGCACAACGTAGGCAACGAACGAATCTACGAACTACGCTCACCTCCCTTTAATAAATTAACATAACAACAATAAATTTCAAAGAATACCATGTACACAGTATCCTGTTTAAACTTAAAAAAAAAATCTACGAATTGCACACTGTAGGCAATAAACGAATTTACGAACTACGCACACCTCGCTTTAATAAATTAACATAACAACAATAAATTTCAAAGAATACCATGTACACAGCATTCTGTTTCAACTTTAAAAAACATCTACGAATTGCACAATCTACACTAAAAACAAATCTAGGAAAAAAAAACTAAAATAAATTTCAGATAATTCAAAAAAACAACAACAGAAACGGAAATTCATACAAAAAACAATGAATAACATTCTACAAAACAAAAACAATAAAATAAAATGCACTTACCATAATGAAAGCTTCTTTTAAAAGCAGAAATATCAATTTCAAACTTCACAAAAGCAAAAAACACAAACACTTTTTGCAAATAAACTACAATGAAATTTTTAATTTTTCCCATTCAATACATCTTACAATTTCTAGAAATTTATTAAAAGCACCTTCTTTAATTTCATGACAGTAACGGAAAAACATATACACAGCCAAATAAAATTCAAAATCACATTTCCTATTATAAGCAGGTAACGAAGCTTTCACATGCCACCTTGTACTCTCAATACTATTTACATGACAGCCAGACTCGCTATCCACAAAATTTAAATTATGGTTCACAAATAAATGTTCAAAACCTTCTTTTCTCAAATCCTTGTAGGATTTCCAGGCATTGGAAAAAATAGTTGTACCAGGCTCAATCCACTCTTTAATACACTGCATCAGCGTTTCCTTACATCTATCATGCACAGCTACTAAAAATAATCTCCCAGACCCTCTTTCCACACCTCCAAATACCCACTGCCCCTCAACAGGATGGCCACGATGATATTTCCTTTTTCCGAATTTCGATTCATCCACTTCCACCACTTTATCTTTCCCCCTATCTTCTCAGATACTTCTCAGCATACAAAGTCCAAAATACATTCGTTAATAAAATTTTGCCAGTCACACAACATCTATGAAGAAAACTTCCACGATTTTGCTATAATCACATGCCTTTCTAC